TTGGGTCCCGGCAGCTGAAGGCTGCAGATTAGAACTATCTTGTGTATGACAAAGAGCTACTTGCAATGAAGTATGCTTTCGTCAGATTCAGAGTTCATCTTCTTGGATCTAAGCCGTTTGTGATCGATACAGATCATGCGTCACTACGCACTGCGACCCAGTTGCCTCACCTCTCTCAGAGAATGGCTCGTTGACTTTCCTTCTTTCCGAGTACAACTTCGAGGTGAAGTATAAGCCGGGCAAGCAGAATGATTTGGCTGATGCGTTGTCACGCAGGCCTGACTATGAGCTTGCTCATGTTACGACTCTGTCGTCGTCGGTCACTGACCTAATCCATACGGCATATGCCAAGGATGAACATTGTGTAGCTCTGCTACGTGCTCTAAGGAGCGAGGAGTTAAAGGACTCAGACATATAATTGTCGGCACGATTACGTTCGAGGTTACATCAATATTCCATCGATCAAGACCTGTGGTGCTATAGCAATGATGTGGAGGATACTCCTCGCATCTTTGTCCCTCATGATGAGGAGTTAAAGTATCGGAACCTCTATGAGGCACATGATACTGCGTCGAGTGGTCATCTCGGTCGTGAGAAGACCTATGTCTCAGTTATATAATGTTATTGATGGCCCAAATTTTACAAATAGGTAAGCACATACGTGCGTACGTGCGTACGTGTCAACGGGTAAAAGCTCACCTCACTCGGCGCCGCCGCTGGATAGTTTGCCTGTACCTAAGGGGTGTTGGGAGTCCATCAGTATGGACTTCTTGTTAGGTTTACCGAAAGATTCGTAGGGCAATACGGGTATTGTAGTATTTGTAGACCGTTTGAGCAAGATAAATCATTTAGCGGCGGTGCCAGACACCATTGATGGTGAAGGTACAGCGACGCTGTTCATACGTCGCGTGTTTCGACAGCACCGTTTTCCTGTGGCAACTTTCTCTGATAGAGATCCTCGCTTCACTAAGAAGTTGAGGAAGTCAATATTCAAGGTGCTCGGCACACGTTTGGACATGTCCACAGCGGATCATCCGCAGACTGATGGTCAAACCGAGCGAGTGAATCGCATCATCGGTGACATCTTGCGCCGTGTTTGCGCTGAAACGCCTAAGCGTTGGAGTTCGATGCTCCCTGTCGTTGAGTTTGCGTTGAAAACGCCGTGCATGCCTCCACCGGCTACACACCGTTTTATGTGAATAGTCTCACACACCCTCGAGTTCCGTTAACGCTACCACTGCGTGGTTCAAGGCTTGGTAAGGGAGGAGTTGCCGATCATCTTGCTGAAATCAGCCCTGCTACTGTTCACAAACAGGTAAGCGAGTTTCTCGCAACGCGACTGAATGTCTTACGACATGTGCGTGAAGCACTGGCTGATAGCCAAGACAAGCAGAAGGAACAAGCTGATGGTAAAGGCAGAGGTTGTATTGAACGTTATGAGGTCGGAGACCAAATTCTACTCAATGCTAAAAACCTACCTACAAATGTATTGTTTGCTGTCTTCAAGACAAAGTTGCGTCCGCGCTTTATCGGTTCATTCACGGTCGTAGCTAAGAAGGGACTTGCGTATACGCTCAACGTTCCGCGAAAACTGCGCACGCACCCAGTGTTCTACGTTGGCTTACTTAAGCCGTATCGGGATCCATCTAATGTGAACTCGAAGGCGCTTGCGCCGGGTAGTAGGGCCTTGCCATCGGTTTCTGAATCCGTATCAGGAGGTCAAACTGAGCCTCCATCCGGGCTTGGCCCAACTCCAACACCTCAACACGGGCTTGAATCGCGTCAAACGCACTCTGGGTCTTACCCAATGTCTCACGGAGACCACTCAGCTCGAGAATCACCTTCTCATGCTCCTCCTTTAGTAGATCGACCACCTCCGACTCTGCTCGATGAGCAAGGGAACCGCCAGTTCCATGTGGAGCGACTTCTGAAACGACGTCGTCTTCAGGGTCAATACCAGTATCTGGTGAAGTGGCGAGGGTACCCGGAGTCGGAGAACTCGTGGGAGCTTGAGATACCCCTTCGGCAGGATTGACCATACGCCGTGGATGTTTTTAGACATCTTGGCAAGAGCCATTCCTCGAGCGAGAGCGCTTCTCACCAATACTGATGGAGGCAGGCGGGTAGTTGGGCACCGCTTGACCAACACCCACATCAGCCGTCACAGCCAGAGCATACCGTGTGCGAGTTCGCAACTGGCCTCTGGACTAAAGCTTGGCGTAATCATAACGAAGATTTTGTTCTAGACGAACGTCTGCCACATCGGCACTTGCTCTGTGAGCTAACACGCTACTAAGGTGTCATTTCCGATGCACCCAGCGAACAAAAGCGTTGTCTTCTTCCTCCTAAGATTTGCCTGCGAATTGGAGGATGTGTATACCATTCATCGGTGGAACCGGTGCACCCCGTGCTTGCGTGTCAAGTCAAAACTTGTATTGACTCTGAGTCGTCAAATAAAGTTTCAGGTACCTCTCGCGAAGTACCTGTCGACATACCACCTCATCAGAAGATGTTGGCTCAGCGCCAATGGCCCACGTTGCCAAAGAGGTACCTGTCGTTTGGCGTATACGCTCTTCCACACTGAGTGGGGTGAACAGATAGCCACGACGACCCTCAAGAATTGCAGCAAGCTGCATACGGCGCTGAGCGCTCTCCTCTCGTCGATTAGCCAACTGTTGTTGCTCATCGAGCGGATTGGTGATGATGGCATCGCCAACGATGGTTGTTTGATGCGGCGCTGATGGCGCATTGCCTTCGCCACGCTCAACAAATGGGTTTGGTGCAGTATGAGGCACTGCCTCTTGCACTGGTGAGTCGGACATTGTCATCTCTTCACCATGGATATCGGTATCGCTACCCTAATCCACCTCCACATCGATGCCGAGGTAGGACGATAGAGTCGAGGACTCATGGGGTGGCGATACCATGGTGTTCCGTGCTTTGCAAACCGTGCAGGTTGAAGCGCACACACACCTTCCTCTGCGAGGAAAGAATTAGATTGACGTCTTGTGGTGACGTCAGTCTGGTAGGGGAGGGTGTAACGGGGTCACACGTCGACTGGTAGTCGACAATAGGTGTGGTACACACAAGGGATGGGATCCCCTTTAAAGTGATATTCGAACACAGTATCCATCGTTCAATACTGATGTCTGTCTACCATTGATTACGAGATCTTTTGAGAGGTTTATTTGGGACATTCGCGAGTAGGGTAATTAATTTGTCCTAAGGTGTTCTTTTAGGTTAAATGAAGAAATAAAATTCAGCTCCCGTTTTGATCCGATAGACACGTGCTTCTTTGAGGCGTCTTGTGATCGTTAAGGAGGTAGCAACGCCTTGTTAAGACAGCTACTCCTTGTGCACTCTGTGCGTTTAATTCTTTGAATCGTTTGGTCCCCTGAAACAGGGACAGTATGCTCTCTGAGCTTGTTAACTCTTTGAGTCGGGTTCTCTGAACCTTAAGCTGCTCATTGAGCGTTAAGTCTTTATCTGACTTACGGAGCTGTGTATCTCCGCTACACCGTGTGTCTAGGTTGGTATCGAGCTCATGTACCTATGTACAGCTGACTTCGTAGAGAGGCCTTACAATGTATACGGGGGATAGCTTGTTATCGCCTACGTCAATACGATATTCGTCCAGCAAAACAGGAGCGCACAGTAGCAGGAAATCAAGAGGCAGCAAAAGGCCATCAGGTCTTATAATCGACAGCTTTGTGCAGTTGCAAACAAGAATTAGCGGTATGGCAAGAGTGTTTTGACCAGCACTTAATTATTGACGGCTCATGGATCATGCTGCTGCTAGACATTGGTGGATGCAACGTTATCTCTTTGCATCCACCCATGTCTAGCAGCAGGATGATCCACGAACCGTCAATAGTCAACATTTGGTCGAAACACTCTTGTAGGCGAAATGATCTGTTTTCCACACTGGCTCAGGATGCTTCAGCAATTTTGCACACCGGGTCGGTATGCAGACAGTCTCATTTAATTTCTGTGTGTGCTGTCGACGAGCGATTGATGCAATTGAGATTTGTGCCCTCAGCGTTGCACGCTTGGCGTCAGAAAATGACCGAGGTCGTCAACGTGGTGCAAAAAGCGCGTCCAGATGCAGTCCCGACAAGAAGGGATCAGACAAAACGACCACAAGCGCATGGGTGACACAATGATAACGTGGCAAAGTGCGTCAATGCACGCGCTTTGCCACAGACTGACAGGTACAACAGACCTGATGGTGGGACGCATTCCACAGCTGCAGATCCCGTGTTCACGACAAAATTGATGCCGATCAACAGAACCGCTAAACGTCGCGCACAAGCGTGACGTCCCGTCGCGAAACAGTCTGTCATGCCAGTCAAAAGATTGCTCTTCAAACCTGTACTTGTGTCAAATCGTGGCTGTACGAACCTGTGCTTGTGTCAAAAGCCAAAGGCGTTTGGTAATGCGAGGGACCATGTCGTTCGTGGAGCTCATAAAGCGGAAGACAAATAAAGGGTTACGTAACACCCCTGTGATTGCTCGTGCAGTATTCCTTTAAAGACCACCGAACCGCATGCGACCACCAGAGAGGCCATCCACTGGTTATCGAAATGATCCGTCTGCAACAACTGATTCCAGCGGAACCGTTGCCCGACCTGCGCGGGCAACAGTCAATGCCCATCACGACTAAAGCCCAAATGTCGGTGCAAAGCCGGACCAGCTTTCGTCGTCTTCCCTTGCACCGTATCTAACCGCACAAATCAGACTCGACGCTTTGTCCGACGCCGCATTCTTCATTCGAGTACTTTGACCCTCTTGTCCATAGCGTCGTCATGAAGCCACGTGGTGTTAGCGTCGTCGGGTGTCTATTCGTTTCCCTGTTGTTCGTGTTGTCCGTAGCTACCTCCGACCCGTTTCCATCAACTGTGACGTCACTCATGAACGCCTCTGTCAACCCGTGTCACGATTTCTACCACTACTCCTGCGGTGCGTGGCTCGCGACGCACGAAATGCCACATAACAAGCCAATGGTCGAAAACTCGTTCACTCGAGCGCAAGATGCAATTAATGCGGTACTGCAACAAGCGCTTGCTACAGATTCGACGTCTTTGACTGGAAAACTCTACGCGTCGTGTATGAATATCGACGCGCGCGATGCCATTGGCGCACAGCCACTGCAGGACGAAATCCAGAGCATCTTGGACGTCTCAAATAAACGAGAGCTTTTCCACGTGGCTGGACGTCTGGCACGCACTAATGCCGATTTCATCACCAACTTTTCGCCTGGTCCCAGTCTCCAGAACGCGAGTCACAACGTCCTCTGGGTTACGCATGCCGACTTGATGCTGGACGACGAGTACTATCGCAACCCAAGAATTCTCGAGCACGTGGCGAGGAACATGTCGCACTATGCGTCCACGATCCTCCAGTTGACGGGGTTCCACTTAGACAACACGACGGAGTACAGGAACTACGGAGACGTGGTACTGAATGTCGAGAAACAATTGATTGAGCTGCAATTGTACACGCAGCTCGACCCGACAAACTCGAGTGAGTACTGTTCGTTCACATTTGCGGAAACAGCAGCAAAGTACCCCTTTGTGTTTGGTGCGTACGCAGAAGGCATGCGAGTGATGGAGGATGCCCCAGCGCTGACGAACGATACACTAGTAGCATTGCGGAGTATTGCCTACCTTGAAAAAGCCGAGGAATTTTTGTCGCTCGTCTCGCTGGATGCACTTAAGGTGTATGTTGCGTTCATTTACATTGACAGCTTGGCGCCGTATCTCGGTACGCCATTCATTGATGCACGCTTCCAGTTCTATCGTCAAGCAATGTTAGGAGTCGAAGTGCCGCTACCTCTCGAAGCGAAATGTGTAGCAGCAGTGGTCAAATTGCTGCCGGTACACGCTGGTGCAGTGTATGTAGTACATCGTGACGATATGAACGACACGGGTGACGCGTTTATCGCGATGCTGGATGAAGTCTTGGATGCCATGAACAACAGTATCAGGACGCTGTACTGGTTGGACGACGCAACGCGAAATAGTGCGTTGGCAAAGCTCGACGCACTGGAAGTCATGTACATTCAGCCTGACGCTACGCAGCTCGAGAAGGAAGCAAGAGGTCTAGCTGAGTTGGACGCTGCAGCGTATTTTGCCAACGTGAACTTGATTCACTCGGCTGAGTATGCCGCTCTCACGTCGGATATTGAGACAAGTGTCGATCGCAGGGAATGGGGAATGAGTGCTGCGTCGGTGAATGCATACTACACACCCCACAACAACCAGATTGTGTTTCCTGCCGGTGTGATGCAGCGGCCGTTCTTTGAGTCTACAGGCAGAGCAGCTCAGGTCTTCGGGGCTTTGGGCGTCGTCGCTGGTCATGAGATATCTCACGGTTTTGATGACTCGGGCTCGAAATACGACGCCAAGGGGAATTGGAACGAGTGGTGGACAAATGCGACTGATGAAGCCTTCAAAGCGCGTGCGCAGTGCTTAGTGGACGAGTACAGCCGATTTTCGGTCGAAGCTGAAGGCGGCGTGCAGCTTGTTCCAGTAGACGGCAAGAAAACATTGGGAGAGAACATTGCTGATAACGGGGGCTTGCGCGTGGCTTTTAATGCCTACAAAGCCCACGAGGCCTCACATGGTCGTGACCACGACAGTGGTGGCAACAATACTACCGACGACGATCAGCTTTTTTTTCTGTCATACGCACAGACGTGGTGTGGCAAAGTGCGCGAAAAGACGGCTATGAACTCATTCCTCACGAACGTGCACGCGGGGAGCGAGGCGCGTGTCAATGGTGTAATAATGAACAGCGCTGCATTCGCCGAGGCGTTTCAGTGTCCAGTAGGCACCCGAATGAACCCAGTCAACAAGTGTGTCGTGTGGTAAGGAATTAGATCAGGAGTCGTGCAGCGTACTTGGCTCGTATCAATTGAACACTATGAGCATCTTTGTGTTTATCATTCATTGTACCGTTGTTTATTGATCCGGTAGGTAGATGGACCAGAGCACTGTTTGTGCCGACAGAGATAACAGGTATATGATCGGATACCATTGCAATTGGTGACAGCAGTCTGACGGCCTTGAACGTCATGTGCAGGCGGGTTTGGTTGAAGCTGAGATTGTGGACGAGTCAACTCCCGAATGGCACCTTACAATGCTCTTTATCTTCCATCGAGTCATTTGCACATGAAGCTTTGTGACGACGTTTGGGGCTACAACGTCATCTACTGCGTGGCCCTTGCGAACTAAAAGTAGACACCGAACTGTTGCAGATCACCAAAACGATGGGCTGCGACAATTGATAATACATTCGTTCGCTTGGCAGCAGAAGAGGATCATAACGAAACGCGTTATTGACGTCGCCGCTTCGCGACCAATATTGCAACTTGCACATGCAAGTCAGACTATGCGAGAATAGTGGACAAAACTATGCAAGCCCAAGTCTGCATGATCACAGAGTGTACAGGGGTGACCGAACGGTCAAGCTGGAAAATGTCAGCAAGGATGGTTCTGTTCTGTGGTCGTATATGCTAAGCGCCTGCGACGATACAAAATTGATGGCGCGTCAAGTAGATCCATACAACGTTGTAGTAGCTCACGACACTCTTTCATAGTCTAGAGCTTACTTAGACATGGCACCTGTGAGGTATGCACGGCTCCAGGCTCGCATCCAATTACGTAGTAGCAGTAATGGTTGATCACGTCTGTATGCAGGATGCAGTCTCATAAGTTCAGTAGATTCGAAAGCCTCGCTACAGTAGCGCATGGTGTTGTAGAAGCTGTTCATTATCTAGCGAGAACTACAGCAAATTAGAGATCTGTCAAGCCGCCTCGAAAAAGCTGCAACGCGACGTACCCAGCCCCACATCAAGCGGCGTGACGATGACACCCAACAAGCTCAGTTGTTCAAAGCCTAGACACTAGCTCTGGCACAAGTGCATGTTGATAGGCGATCGATGCTAGGGAGGCAGTATGGGCAAATGCACGACCGCCCACTTAGTACATACGAAGGGGTGCAACGTCTATGACCAACTAGACGATTATCAAGTTGGGTACGAGTTTCATATGGACATGTCAACAAGATACAACAACTCGTGATCGATCGCCATATATCCCATGAGCACGACTGGAGCTGTGCTGAGCCAACAGAAGTCGATCGACCACACCGCTTAACGCGGATAGTCACGACGAGTAGACTCTGTAACAGTAACCTGGTACAGTTTCGTGAGTCTTCCCTTGGCCATAACTACTATCTTGGTGCTACTGAGTCCCACAGCTTTGGTGACATCGTGAAGCTTGACCACAAACATGGAGTCATATCGTTGACCAGTCAATGTGGGACTGAGAGTCGCGTCCTTTGCGTTTGACCCATCTGCATCGCTCTGAATGGCCCCTACATATACTGTCATACATGCAAAACGATGAACAACCACAAGTACAAGATATGCTTGCGTCTGTAGCATGCAGTCGGTTGCAAACCTGGACAAGGTAAGAATCAACGAGATTGACAACACACAAAAACGTGCGATAGCTCGATTATTCGTTAGAAGTCTACGTGGCAACTGACTTGCATAGGTTTGCTTTCAGCTGACTCCGATTAACAAAGCCTTGTGTTTAGCCTTCAAGTATGACCGAATGCTTGCCAACTTGCAAAGTCAATTTGCCGCGGAAAATTGTATCAGCTAGTCAGCCGCGTCGAGGGAGAACGGTAGCAAGAGCGACAGCGCTACACTCCTAAGATCGTGCGATGAAGCTTGTGACGAGCGATGCGACGGCCGCATGTCGAGATCATATTCGCAACGTAAGCAGCTCTTCTTACACATGACGTTGATCTTAAATTGCGAAGTGACATAAGGCAGTCACGCAAATCACAATCGATCCTTTGCACTCTGTATGCGACCCTGGTCTCACTCCGCTCAGGTCGTAACGGATGCGCACAGCATATTACATCAATGTTTTCGATTGTACAAAAAGATGCAAGATTGATCGGGCTTCTATTGTCTGTTTGTTGTCATCGTTTTGTAGAAGTCGAGTGTTGCCAGCATACAGTCTGACTGGAAGTGGATCTTCGGAATGGACTGGTTAATGGCGCTTTGCCCTACAACACAGAATGCCGACAAAAAAGCACTAGTGTTGCAATCTGCTCGTCGGGGCGCTAAGTAGTCAGTTGTAGTAAGAATACGTGCTTTCATGTAAGCACACGTTTCGACCTGCCTTCAACAACAGGTCGTTGACTACAAAAGCCATCTTTATAAACAATGTCTGTTGGCGAACATCCATACCGATCCAAACCGCCAATTTTCAACACGAGTGCTGACCAGCACGTCCGAATGAGAAACTACCACCACGCTTGTTGGCGATGTAATGCTACCAACGCATGACAGTGCAATGACCTTCCAGCAGTTACGGTTTGATCTTTCCATACCGGCCTGCTTAATAGTTGCCTGTAACTACATGTTTGGTTGCAAGATTTGACATGCCGGAGTAGACTCCTGCTTAGCATGCATTGGTCTGTGAGCAATATACACGATTCCTTTCGGCAGCGTTATTGTGACGTCTACTCCAAGTCGCTAGCGTCCTTACTAGGCGTAGTGACAACATACAAGGGCTTGCATCGGGCGAAGCTTACGACGTGCATCTTTGTGAAGCAACATATCACATTTCTTAGTGCTTCTTCCCATTTGATGGGACCTGACATTACTCACGTTCGCCATCTACCACGGACAATTCCCAAATTTTCACGGTTCAGCTCAAGCCAGTCTTTTTCCCTTCGGGGCAGTCACGTTGGAGGGAATCCTCCCCTTGGGGAGCCGACGTGGTCGAAGATCTGACGCGGGCACGCTGCACTCGCAGTCGCGGGTGTGGGCGTAGGAGACCGACGGGTCGCGCAAGCGGCCCTAGCAGGGGTGTTTTACGGACTGGAGGCGTACCTCGCGCCACGTGTCGCCGCTGCGGCGAGCGCACACTCCACGTCAAGGGGCCGCGCAAGCGGCTGAAGGGGGCCACCATCGCAGATGGTTGAGCTCCTCGGAGAGATATACGGCGGGTTGGCGTTCTCCACGCCACGCAGTCACTTCGGTGATCGCGCTCCACGTCGGGGGCCGCGCAAGCGGCTGAAGGGGGCCACCATCGCAGATGGCTGAGCTCCTCGGAGAGATATACGGCGGGTTGGCGTTCTCCACGCCACGCAGTCACTTCGGTGATCGCACTCCACGTCGGGGGCCGCGCAAGCGGCTGAAGGGGGCCACCATCGCAGATGGTTGAGCTCCTCGGAGAGATATACGGCGGGTTGGCGTTCTCCACGCCACGCAGTCACTTCGGTGATCGCACTCCACGTCGGGGGCCGCGCAAGCGGCTGAAGGGGGCCACCATCGCAGATGGTTGAGCTCCTCGGAGAGATATACGGCGGGTTGGCGTTCTCCACGCCACGCAGTCACTTCGGTGATCGCACTCCACGTCGGGGGCCGCGCAAGCGGCTGAAGGGGGCCACCATCGCAGATGGTTGAGCTCCTCGGAGAGATATATGGCGGGTTGGCGTTCTCCACGCCACGCAGTCACTTCGGTGATCGCACTCCACGTCGGGGGCCGCGCAAGCGGCTGAAGGGGGCCACCATCGCAGATGGTTGAGCTCCTCGGAGAGATAGACGGCGGGTTGGCGTTCTCCACGCCACGCAGTCACTTCGGTGATCGCACTGCACGTCGGGGGCCGCGCAAGCGGTCCTAAAGGGGTTTGTTACCTTATATGGCAGCATACCCGCGTTGTCCGTGCTGCCGCTCCGGCGGTACGCATGTCCCCAGTCCACTTGGTCGCTCCAGCGGTCATGATTGACTCGTAGTTGGCTTCGGTAGGAGGGTCTCTGACCTCGTTGCCGTCGCCCCTGGCTCTACGGAGCCCTTTAGTTGTCGACCCGATACCCAGGCCGTACTTCTTGTCACACTTATCAGTCGTTAGTTATCATAATAATGGACGTACTTGACACCAATATGACGCAAATAAGTCGGGCGTGACACGGGACTGACAGAGAAGTACGTAATGGATACATGGATGCCTGCAAGATAGCTGCATATCGGAATACTTGGTGCCGCATGAGTCTCGACAAAAGCATTACGCTTGACGTGAATACTACAAAAGCGCGTGCTAAAGCCGCATGGGCCCACACGTCGCGGCTTTGCTGATGCCACATGGTCGTCGTACAATCGCCGATTCACCGGTGGTCTGGTTCTCTTCGTCCAGAGCCGATCCTTCTATTGTACATCGATGGAGGCACAGAACAAACAACAAACAACAAACAGACAAACAGACAAACACACGTTTTCCTACAAACGAGACGACGGCAGAAATGCGCCAGCAAGTCGACTCACCTACACGCACGCGTTGTCCATATGACACACTCCTACAAACGCTCATACATACAAACATACCGTCGTTTTACACACACGCACACATCTGCACACTCGCATGCGCCCATACAAACATCCATACAACTGCTCCTCCACTCCTTCGTCGGCATTTGTTACCAGTACCCGCAAAAAGTGTTCAGTGCGAGCAGCAGTGGCGTGCTTCGTCCACACAACCGCCACACCAAGTTCTTGATTTTCCACCAATCCGCGCGGAGGAGCGACTTGCCCGCGTCGTGCGTCGCTCGTCCCCTGAATTACAGTATGATCTCGTGATCTTCTTCGACTGCCGCGAACCATACAAACACATAGTCAATCGGTCCGCCCGTCCGTCGAGCACTCCACGGCCACTCTTTGATCCATTCCAGTACCGCGTGACAAGTCGCCTGACCTCTTGCGACGTGCGCTAAAAAACCTCACAGGACCCGGACACGACCAAACAAATAATCCCCACGGACCTGCGACCTGTATACTCGTTGTATTCACTTCTTGTCGTACACGCGTAGCACGCCGGATGTACACCGGGAACTCGCCGATCGGCGAGAACGCGGGCGAGCGCACCAACTCAAACGTGTGGCGCGACACGTCGGAAGCCGAGATGTACGGGAGCTACCTCGGCCCCGGCATCAACGACACGAACAGCGAAGTCCCCATGATGCGGCCCACAATGGCGGCGCGGCCCAGCACGAGCGTCCATCAAGACATTGCGGTGGGCCAATTGGACGACCCGGGCCTTGCTACGGGCACGGGGCCGGCCAAGGCGTACTCGGGCCGCAAAGTCGTGTGGCCCGGCGCTTTGTTTCTGTTCCTCGCGGCCGCCGTCGCGCTGAGTTTGATCACGTACTTTGGTATACAGGAGTATACGGCCGCCCAGACGCAGCAGTCGCTGACCGAGTCCGTGAGTGACGTGGCCCGCGCGAGGCGGCGGAAGAGCACGAGCGTCAAGAGCTGCATGCTGCCGGATTACATTGCCGAGGACGGCAAGATCTATGCCCGGAACAGCTTCACGGGCAAGCAAGAGCCGCTCGTGTTTACAGGCATCAACTGGAGCGGCATGGAGAACGCCGAGGGCGTGCCCCACGGCCTGGCTGCCAAGCAGAGCTACTTGGACGACATTGCCAAGAACTTGTCGGACAGCGGCTTCAATGCCGTGCGGCTGCCGCTCAATGCGCAGATGATTGTGGACAACGCGGCACCGAACACAAAGCTCTTTGTCAATGCACTCGACACGGACTTGAACGTCGTGACGTACATTGACATGATCAAGAAAGTCGTGCAGGGCTTGGGCAAGCAGCAGATTGGTGTGTTGCTTGATATTCACAAGATTGACCCGAACTTCACGGACGATACGTCTGAGCACTTGTGGTTCACTGACGACTACCCGATTGCGACGATCTACGAGATGTTTGAGACACTGGCCGCGGAATTGTGCAGCGATCTCGAGTACAATATTGTGGGCATTGACCTCAAGAACGAGCCCGTGGGTGGCTGTTGGCCCAAAGATGACAGCGACAAGTACTGTGACCCAGACGTGAATTGGCCCCGTGCCGTTGAGACGATTGGCAACAAGATTTTGGCCATCTGCCCGAATTGGCTCATTGTAGCGGAAGGCAATTACGCCATCGATACCACGTCCGAGATCAATGGGGTGAACTTGACATACAACGACTGGTACGGAGCGAGTATGCAGAACGCCAGTGTGAACCCCATTGTCCTTGCTATGGAGAAGAAGCTCGTGTTTGCGCCACACTTTTACTCGCCCAGTGTGTACCCGTCGTCGTACTATTTTCTTAAGCAGTCCTCGAGCGGCAGCACTGTCTCGGTGACAGAGTTCCCAGACACGGCGGAAGGCACTAAACTACTGGAGGGCGCTGTGACTGCTGTGCTTGACAACGCCTTTGGCAATGTTGTGACAGAAACGGGTATACCGACGTTCTACGGCGAGTTTGGCGGTATTTATGGCACGAAGGAGCTGCTTAAGGGGCGTACGAGTACGCGTACGATCGATATACTGATCGAGTACGCCAACAAAATGAACATGACGGGCGGCTTCGTATGGGGCCTCAATCCTGATGGAGCATACGACTTTAACGACAAATTTCTGCCCGACGATCCGTGGCAATACGGTCTGTACACGGACTCGACGTGGGAGAAGTTCCACACGGACTATGCCACGAGCCTGCAGAGTCTGAAGGGCAGCGGTCCGTTTCCCTGCTTTATGAAGACCACGATCAAGACGTTCTCGACGTCCGGCAGTGGGAGCGATACGATAACTGTGGACTCGATTACCGATGCGCCAGTTGCTGGGACACCGACCACGGGGACGGCTACGGCTCCAGCGGCGGTAGGAGAACCTCCCTCTGCTACTGCTGTTGTTCCTGCAGCTCCGGCAACTCCTGCAGCACCCGCACCTCCTGCAGCTCCTGGTGCTGCGATGACGACGACGGCAACAGCATCGTTAGATGCGACGGCAACGGCGTTGTAGAGTGGCTAAAGGCAGTGACTGGCATGGAGCTTGGCGACCAAGTCTGTGCTACTGTGCGATATTTGCCGCTGCATTCGTCGTGTTTATCTTCTTGTAGGCTCGGTACCGTTGCAATCAGCGAGACGTACATGCCCTCTCCTGCTAGCACGACGAGCACTGTATAAACAAAAATGGATATCGTGACATATGATCCATGCAAGCAAAGGAGCACGAGCACTTTATAAACAATAATGGATATGGTGACGTACGACCCATGCAAACAAAGGAGCACGAGCATTATGACACAACTGACTGGTAGTATATCACGAACCAAGCACCATTGTAGCACATACGCATCGCCGCCTTTGTCAATTCCAACACTCGATCGTCCATTCACTTCCAGTTGCTCACGCCGTCTCGATCTCGACCTTCGTCTTCTTCTGCTGTGTCTGCTTCTCGTTCTCGGCGCACGCACGCTTAATGGACGCGTTTTTCTCGAGCAGTTCATTGTGCGAGCGCTGGTACTTATGCAGCTTAACGCTATTGCGTGCTTGAGCGTCCTGTCGCGCTCGGTTGACTTTATCCGACCCGAGTTTCGTCTGCCGCACCACGTGCGCGTACCGCTGTTTCATACCGTCCAGCAGCGCCGCTCGGACTTTCAATAAAGGGGTACCGAAGCTCTGATATAGCTCCAGATTCAGGACCCGCGTTGTTTCGTGCTCGACAGCCACTTGGAGCTGCTTCAGCGCTTGTTCCCAGGCTTCGAGACTCGCCATGTGCTTCCCTGTTGGCTCCCGCACTTGGTACCGATTCATATCAATAGCGTCGAGCGGCACGTTGGCCATCACGCGCTTAAATTCTGTCTGGAGCCGCCTGTGACCGCTAAAAGACGGCAAAGAAGACGACGACGACGACGAGGAATACGGTAAGAAGCTCAAGTACTTATCGTCAGGCGGCGCGAACGTCGCCATCTCCGCGCGGATCTGCGCCTGCACTTGTTGCTGACTTGATGGGGAGTTGTACTCGGTGTCGATGTAGCCCAACGAGTCAATGAGCGCGCGGCTCGAGGCGAGCAACGGACACGTCGAGGGCGCCATGATGCACTCGGAGTTTGAGATGGACGAATTGGTATTTTGTGTGGTGGACATAAATGACGAGCGTCGGTTGGGTTTGTAGCGCGGACCGTTCCGCGACTTTTGCGTCTACGACTGCAACGCTCACGACTTTTGTTACCAATGTTGAGCCGCTGTTATTGTGATCAAAAGAGGTTTACTTGACGGGAAATGCGAGCAGGTTTGAGACCGGCTCCTGGTTAGTACAAGACGTTTGACGACGCAGACAAGTAGAAAGCAATGGAGGTCAATGATTTTGACGTGTATGTAGACTGCCCAATAAGAGCTGAGCGCAAGTGTTCGCAGAGTCTGGCTCGTATCTGCTCAACAGTCTCTTGAGCCCCTTGATTCGTAGAGTTGCATTGATGTGGCAGGTTTGATGGCCAGGAAGTACATCCATGCGTGCTTGACGCTGCAAGATCGGCCTGGATCAGATCTTCTGGCTGTTACAGCATCCAGTTGACGCCATGCCGTTTTGTATGGTACCGAGACCATAAAGTCGAATGGCGACTTCTGGCATTCATGACAAACATTACTTTGCACACCGGCAGCTCGTAATCATCGTTCGTACGCGCGTCTTGGTCGTTCATCACCACCAACCTTTTCAAGCATACAAACAGTGCTGTTAGCAAGCAAGCTTCGTCTTCTCAGATAAACATCCAGCGGCTCATGTATCTGTCTGCAGACACCACATGACACGCGACTATTGAGCTCCACGTTTGTTTTACGGTACAACCAACGAACGAAGCTACGACGCATACATGCATCAATCAGTGATGTCGATGGGGTTGTTTCCTACGCGCATGACTCGAGTCGACGCAGGAATAGCGTCCACCAGCAGCAGCGCAGCCACGAAAGAGGTCATCTTTTGCAAGCAAAGAGACGTGGGGAGAAGAGGCCAAATACCTTCGTCACCTTTTGGGTAAAACGATCATGGATCCCGCGATCCCGGTGTTACTTCTCCGTCGTTGAGACAACGGACAAGAACGCTAGTACATGGGTCCGACGAGCACCCCATTGTTTTCCAGTCGATTGGGTCCATCCAGTCGCCCTTTTCGAGGCCCCCATCGATCCCCTTCCCTTTCTGACCACAGATTCTGCCTTTTGTATTGCACAGGACGTTCACGCACGCTGCGAGTCCACTGCATACAGGACCACAGCCGCCGTCTTCGTGCTTTCCATGTAACTCATCTTCCATCCTCCACAAGAACATGTATACCTCTTATCTGTAGACCCCCGCCCTCTTCATGAACGTAAGCGATGCTTTCGTGACAAAACAGTCGACGGAGACCTTCCATATCGCATCTGTATTGTACCATCTTTGACAGGGCTCCACATACGTCCATCCATTTTAAGACAATGCTCGCGACGCAATTGACACGCGCGAGCCGCGTATTGCGTCGGCCATCGGCGCGCTTCGTGGCAACAGCAGACAAGCCGTCCAAGCCATCGTCTCGTGCTTCGAACAAGTCGCCTGTGTCGTCTACGGCCCCGAAGGTGCGCAAGAAAAAGACGTTCCAGTTCTCCGACAAAGACGCAAAGCCGACGACGACGCCGCTGGAAGAATTCGCCTACCCATCGTACTGGGACGTGGACTTCCCGTCGGACTTTGACAATGACATGAAGCACGAGGTGGAGAAGCTGCAGATCTTTGCAGACTTCACCCCGTACTTGGACTTGTCGTGGCAGCAGCAGATCCATCCGCTGTTTGACGGGGCAGCCATTAACATGACGCTCAACTGCCCGCTCGAGGACTTTGACGAGCGGCTCTTTATCGATGACAGAAACACGTACGACACCAAAGTGGTGATGGAGGTGCCTATGACGTGCTTCAAGGGGCTGAATATGGAGGCAAAGGACATTGTGGTGCAGCTCGCTGGTCCGCGGTACAATGCCAACAAAAAAATGATAAAGATCGCTGAGGACCGCTACAACACGCGCGTGTTCAACCATAAACGTATCTGCGATATATTGCGTGACCTCACTCAGACAGCACTCGAGCTAAGCGGACAGGCGAAGGAGACCGACGAGCCGAAGATGGAGGACACGCAGTAAGTGGACAGACGCTTTGGGTGACAAGATCGCTAGCGTTGACAAAGATCGCTGCACTGCTAGACCGCTGCGTGCACGTCAGTGTCTTGTTGCGAATGCTCAGCAACGTGGAGCAGGTGTAGGTGGGCAGACTCGTCGAGTGCTGTCAGGAAGGGATGTATGGGTCGATGATGTTGATGTAGCTGTCCATGTAGCTGGGGATAAACGACAATGACAACAAGCGGTGAACACAAATAGGCTATTCGATCCTCGAATCGGTTCATCAGTATCGTGCTAAGCTCTCGTAGGTGCCATCAGCGACAAAGAGCCCACTTTACTTGCCAAAGGTGTGTCTAGGCCCCCGCTCCTGGGCTGCCTACAGAACGCACACCGTCCTCTTCTCAGCTTCGGTCGCTCGTCTATCCGTCCGTCCGTCCGTCCGTCTATCCGTCGGGTCCTTGCTATCCTGTTACTGCCAAGGAAGCGCTCGAGGCGCTACGGGCTAGATCCTGCACACGTACGAGCTGGATTGTGTTACGTAGCGCACCCATCGCTTGTACGTGTAGTTCGGGTGACGCGCGTGCTCCGGGATGCGCAGGTACCGCACCTGCAGACTTGATGTATTGTACATGGGAATCTCAAAGTTCATGCTAACGGGGCCAATTTCACGCCGCACATGCGGGCTCGGCTGACCCAGCGTGAGCTTCGCACGCATCGTGAGTTCCGAGCCGCCAGTGAAGCGCTTGATCGCCCAGCGCACTTGGTTCTCGTTTTCGCGGTATTCTGCCAACTGACCAGCTGAACTCTTGCCAATGTCGCACGATACGGCTACCGTGGACTGCGGCACGGGGAAGCGGATAATCACATTCGCACCGTAGTTGTTCTCCGGCATGTCGGCGCGTATCTTGAGCACCATTTCAATCTTTGTTGGCGACAGCTCCTCGACGAACGGAAAGATCCGGAAAGGAGCGCGAAAGTCGCCCGTAATGCGGTAGTTAATGACAGTGAACTCTCCGTCTGGTGGCTGGAAAATCAGCACACGGTCGCGCTCAAACTCATCGAGCTGCACGCAGTCGTGGAAATTACAGTCGTCCAGCACGACCTGTCCATATTGGCGTGCGCCCGTGCTTCCAATGACCAAGTCTTCGTTCAGCGCGAGTCGCAGCTCCGGGTTGCCCGACAAGTAGCTCTTGAGCTGGATCCGTCCTTCAATCGACGCATTGAGCATCTGGCCACCCGAGGAGAACACGACGTTCAGGCGCTCGAGAATGTCACAAAACAGTTCGTTCTCGTCCTGTTTCTTCGAGCTCTGTCCTGCTGTTGCCACGGGTTTTTTCACGGCACTCGCGGCTTTAATGTTCGAGCTGCGGTTCATAAACTTGGAGCTCGCTTTGGGTTTCGACAGCATCGCGTCGCCCACGAGGATCGCTTCATTGTGCACGTGCACCTTGAGGCCCTCTGTGCTCGTGTCCTGGGCAAACCCATAGTCAAGCGTCTCGTCCAGGAGCTCGTAGCACAGGATAAAGTTCTTCCGGAGTGTCTCTTCGCTCAAGACGCCGCAATAGTCTTTAAACACGCGGCAGAGGCGCGTGAGGAGCTCCAGCACGTAACTCGGACTCACATTGTACCGCGTCGTCGCAACAAAGTACAGGCCGTTCTTCTTCACGTAGAGGTAATTCACACCGTCGACGTGGAACGTCGGGGGCGCGTCGCCCTTTTCCCAGAACTTGACCTTCCGGAAAAACACTTCGGCCGACGTACTCGACACGTCGCCTCGAAAGTCGGAATAAATGATGGTATCGCCGCGTGTCGAGAGGATGTAGAACTGCGAGATGGACGACGACATGACCGGGAAAGAGGGGGAGTAACGGGTGGGGGTGTGGGTGGACGTGTGGTGGGGTGGGCCGCGCCACGTCAGCGATAAGGAGGCGGAGGAGGCGGAGGATGTGTTGGTGAGCTGAGCGTGAGATTTGGTCCCCCTTTTTTTCTGAATAGATCGAAAAAAGAGCTGCTGGAGGACGAAAGTGTTTGGCGATGAAATGGGGCGGCGGGGGACGATGGGATGCAGACCTCTTGAGAGGAATACGAAGGACACAGCGGACACGTGGGTTTGTGATAAATGACGTTGGTGCTCTCTTATTTTGTAATTGTAATGGTTAGGCAGGCACAAATGATCGTTTGTTCGTTAGAAACAGGTTTGTTTTTTGTGCGCGTTTCTTTATGGCTAAACGATCGCACCGGACCGATAGTCAAATTTATAGGAATGAGGACGTGAAGCGCAGTTCATCGTGGAAGACGGCATACAATTCACCTTTTAATCGTACCTTGCCGTCCAATGAGCTCGGTGTTATACTCATCGCAATTACAGTGCTATACCTCCACTTATAGTGGCAAGACTTGCGATAGTAAAATGTGTCTGAAGGGTGGATCACATGACTAGCAATGATCAAGCAAGCCTGATTAGCACAATGTGCTATCAGCATCTTGCGCAAGGTCTGCGATTGATGAAAGGGTATATCACACATAATATATTGCAGCCATACTAGCAGGGCAGGAATCTATGTTCTCATCACATAACGAGCAAAGGTACGAGCGAGGCCACAAAAGAACGCAATTTGTGGAGCCAAAGATTCTGACAGCCCATAATTGCGGCACAATTGCACAGTTTCACAAGAGCTGCAATGCCTATATGTCTCTTTAATTATCAAAACGGGACACCACAACCATGTTGCACACAGTATGAGCCGACCCACACTAAAAAAGCGGTGTGGACAGGTGCCTCAAAAATTCATGACACAATATACTATTGCAGAAAAGCTTCGAACAAAAAGACATAAGTATCAGGTTGAAGAAATATGTAGGTTTGTGGTTACGCTCATCAATAATCTTTACAATTTGCCTTAACTTTATACATACAAACGCAAAATATAATTGTCTGCTTGCCACCTATTGCCCGCGTTTCTCATTCATTAGACGCTTTGTGGTTTTATATTATGACCTATAGCAAAGAAGTTTCAAAAGTGTATCGAAATAACGCCTATAAACGCTATTCACTATTATTATTATTAAGAGTGCAAATGTCATGTCATATAAACGGGCTCACCCCGCTACATCGTCCCTGTCCCAAAAGTTACATTAGTGACTATTACTAACTGAGCTGCCCCCCAATAAGTCAATGAAGGGAGCATTGATTGGTCAACTCACACATTCCAATATATTCCATCGCATGGCTAACAAGTTCGCGCATTGAGTAGTGCAAGGTTGCACGACTCTGTGCAATCGCCCATTACACCCCAATAAATCGAAAAGCAGACGTTTAATCGTCTGCTGCATGAGCATCTTTATCGAAGATGAATTTCAATGCAGGTTCACTTAGTTATGCATCACGTGAGAGGATGAATCCGGCGTGTAAGTCATCTATTCTGGTGAGACGTTTTCTGACTTATAAAATATATCGTGACCTATGTATTCTAATACGAAGCACGAATTTTTCTGTTGCTCTGCGCCAGCGATATCCGGGCAGTCTGAAGAGGTACACGTCTACTCTTATCGAAGCCGTTCTCACTCGTGAAAGCGCGTCAATTATGCACGTATGCGGAGCTCGTCATTTAAGCGATGGTGACGTCAACATCAGTCATAATATAAGATTGATGTAACTGGTTGCGATCTAAAAAGTGTATTTTTTATAAAACTACACAAGAGAAATTCGACCGCAGATTATTAAGTTTTGCTTCCGTAGATTAGGTGTGAAAGCCACACCAGCAAGTACTCTATAGTTTCGAGGGATAATATTAGTGTAGGCCTTGATTGTCTCCATTTATTACATCAAGTATTCACATCCTTTTAGAAAATGTTTATAAATTTTACACTGAGCAGCATTGTAATTATAGCGTTCTAGTGATAGACATCGACGATACATAGGGAACCGCAGAAAAGATATAATCTCGTAGAAACAAAAGCTTGAAATACATTCATTCGCAAAGTTGATGCCATAAGACGTGATGTCTGGATAGAAATACTAGTGTGAAAATACTGGATCATATAGAGACCTACTAATTCGTATATCTTGAAAGCAGGTTTTACACGTCGTTTGTGGGTAGACTGTAAGCGAATTATCAGCAATTTTATTCGAGCCACTACAAATTTATACTCGCTTTGTTACATCGGTGGGAGGGATCGAATCTCTTTTCAAAGACGCAAATAAATACTGATTAGAATTCTGTACACGCCGGGAGACGTATTTCAATGCACTCAAATTTCAACAGGTGATTTAGTCGTACGTATAAAACAGTCCCGATACGCCCCCATCGGCTAAGAAAAAGGCATTTTAGTTGTCTGCAAAAAAATGGTCGATCCAACGAACAAGGTACCTATCGGTTGTACCTTCAACTCGTAGTAGATCACCGACATTACATATAAAAGTGTAGATCACCACGCGAGTCCACCAACGTATTTTGCAATGGCGTCAAGATAAGGCCAAAAAGGTCTTAATGGCATATTTGCAAATTTCGAAGGTCAACGGGTCTTAATGGCATCTTTGCAAATTACTAATGTGATTGATCGCGTGAGAAATATGTTACAAGATGATAATAATCTCGAGCGTAAGCGTCGTATTCACGTTCCTGACTCTGTGCGAAAGCATCGAAATGATTGGACGAGTTACCGATAAGAGCTATTTATTGCAAGTGTAGTATGAGCGACTATATCGTTCTTTTGCCCGTAAAAGTTAAGGGACAACTCATGGGACCTCTCAGTGTCGCAAGGAGATCATAAAAAACTTTCGCTTTGGAACACGATTTCGATTAGAAGGGTCTAGAGACGGCCCTTGTTAGCAAAATTTTAGTCATCTGAAGATTATTTACGGTAAAAGTCTAGACGGAGGTGTCCAATGTAACATAAGACGCGTTTGCCGTCTGCGTGGCATCTCTGCAGAATGTGATTGTATAGGCGGAGCAGCAATAGACATATCCAAACTTTTCACACAATGAATACAACTGGTAATGTTCATCAATGCGCGGTTTCGCATAATATTGCATACAGCAGAAGAAGGAAATCGACGTCATCTCAAAGTACGCTTGGCCTTAACATAAGTAAACAGAGTTTCGTTATTGTCTGTCCACCTTTTTCACTTTGCTTTTTTGCACATATTGGACCAGTACTTATCAAATTAGGTGACATCAATCCACCGACTCGTTGTTGTTGGCTGTAGCATACTTTTGTTGCACTGCAGAGATTTCTACTGCGGTTCAATGAAACCGTTGTCGTTTTGTTGGCACTATCTTCGACAAAACTTGTGTCTTTAACATCGTTAATAGTACGTGCAACATCACACTAATTCTATATTTGTTTGTTGAGCTGATGTGATCAGATTATGTGGTTTACAAAATAACGTTTACGTCACTGCACGATGATGAGATCCAGGTAGATATTTGGTTGCTAGAGCCCTCCCCTTCAAACTAAATCTAAACTATAATTTGTGGGTTCGGGTGAGTGAGAAGGTGCAATATACTCGTCTACGATATCGATTACACGTCCTGCAGTATGTCAGTAAAACGAATGTGGCGAAATTGATTGATATAGAAAGTTTTTTATTGTGAGAGCGTGTACTAAATTGATCATGGCGACTTCTGCCATCGGCAAAAAAATTCACTAGCTCGTAATAAGTTCGTACTCTTAAGTATTTCTACGAAGATAAGAATTTTGTTTCCGTCCGACCCTTTGTTTTAAATGGCCAAAAGTAGACATAATCAAGCGTGATTTAATCTATTACAACATGGATCGACATGACTTCGCCGCATTCCGAGAGTGTCGATCAGGTACAAGTTTGCCGGGCACCCATTATGCCGAAATATCAGGTTGATAAATATCGTAGCACAGCATCAGCTTTGACCGACTCCGGGAAAGCAGCACGATATAAGATCTTGCTTAAGAGACCGATAAACAGAATCTTTTTTTATTTTTTTACCGTCCGTCTTGCAATCAAATTTGGGAATTCCCGACAAAGTTCATTAAAAAGCTACCCATTTATATGCCGGAACCGACAGAGGTTTCAATATCGCACGATATGTAAAGCTATGCTTCACCCGCAGACAATGCTCACAAGTATGGATGCCTTTGCGCAAGAACTAATACAGGCCGGGTCCAGTAAAAGTATCGCCTGGAAGTGAGGTAAGTCTTCTCAAAACCAAGATGCCTTCTACTGGCGCATCGTGACAGTCATACATGATTCGCAGTCGCAAATCATCAGGATTAGGCACGAAAACACTTAGTGTCGCCGACGACTGCTGTATAATACAGCAGTTCACCGCGGGCTCGTATCGCATCGCAAATGAACGATTCGTCGCTGGAAAGCTTTCCGAAACTTGCGAGGATATATTGAAAAGATATTTTATGATTTGCACTGTTCCTGTATCTTTTGCGCATACTTTTAGTAAGTCGTCAAGGCTGATCGACGACGGGAAGTTGCTAGTTAGCATTGCACCAATAAGCTTATCCTCACTGTTGGAAGACAGAGACGGAATAGAATTAGGCCATACCGTTAGAGCGTTAGCGACGACGTTGAGTTGTCAAAGTTTGTATTTCGCGTTGCAATTAAGATCACGAAGAATCTCAATCACCTCGTCAATTATTGAGAGAAATAAATACTGTTCATAGTCGTGCGTAGAGACGCATAGCATTTGTAGACGATGAAAGGTTTGTCTAGCTAGTGGATGCTTCACGACAAATGGATTTTGCCGTGCGCTACTAAATTGAGCTTAACCTGTTTCAGATGTTACGATTAATAAGAGACGACACATTCTGCGCCGTTTATAGCATATTGCATCCGCGCATAGTTATATTAAAAAA